CTGCTGACATTGTTGTAGATCTCTCGAATAACCATCTCAAAAGCCGTTATAACGTTCGTCGAATCCAGGGCTGATGTCTCCATGAAGAACAACCCTTCTGCTTCTGCAAGGCTCTTGCCTTCCTCGACACTCACAGTTCTGATATTCTCCAAATCACATTTGTTTCCCACCAGTATCCTTGCCACGGTTGTATCAGAATGAGCTGCAAGATTGGATTTTTGAAGTTCAAAAGTCAATTTATCATTCTTATCATCAGAATTAAATAAATAAATAAATAAAGAAGAGAGAAAAAAAAAGAAAAACGAAAAAAGGAAAGCAACCTCCTTGATAAATTAGATGTCCATTTAGCTGAAAATGATAAATTATATTATTGCAGCTCATGGATGTAAAAAGGGATATGTCTAGGTTAAATTGGAGAATATTCTACGAAGGTTTGCCAGAGCACATTTTCTCTGGCTTGTGCTGATAAAGTCCACAAAAAGCTAAATGCTTCTTCTTGTGACGTGTTACATTTTAGTAAGAAATTGATTCAGACTAGCCAAAAAGTTTGTAAGGTATCAACAACTTCAAATATACACGGACTATAAAATCAGGAAGAAACAAAAGGTAAATCCTTAACAAGGACATCATCAAATATGATACAAAAATGTTAACAACAAAAAAAAAACAGAAAATCAATAGAACAAAAGGAAAATGAATGAATATTGGTATCATTGAAAAACTGTTCATATCACTTGGAATTTCATATTTTGATTCTCTGTTACAACAAATTCATAGGCATTAGGTACACATTTATGCAATAAATGCCTACAACTTACAAGCTCTACAGAAGAATTGACTTCATTTATATTAAGGTAGAGGACTTCAATTAACTGAACTTTTCCCTTTTGTGCAAACTCTAGTCATCTTTGCTTTCCATATATGGACAAGTCTCAATGTGTCATTCTAGCAGCCATGGAGTACTCAAATCTGGTTGATTTCAGATACTGTTTCTTTATTTTTTGTGACAATTTAATGTTATATACTATAGTTCTCTTGAATAGTTTATGCATTGTAATTTTGTAAGTAAAGAGGATGATTTGAGTGTGATGTGAAAATCAACAAGGAATGGATGTTAGTTGTACATTACCATATTATAGCATAGATATACTGGTCACTAGTATTGCAATGTTGTCTGAATTATCAATTTTCTTCTCTGTTCTTATAAATTATTTATTTTAGTAGAATTTATAATTATTCTACATACTTTATTTTATTTTATTTTTATTTTTATATGTATTATATCATCAAAGAAGAATTAAGGGGGTGTTGCTTGTATACAATGCAAAAGAGCAAAAGCCAAAACACCTATACATCAAGTTGTACATTACCATATTATAGCTTAGATATACTGGTCACTAGTATTGCAATGTTGTCTGAATTATCAATTTTCTTCTCTGTTCTTATAAATGTTTTAGTAGAATTTATAATTATTCTGCATACTTTATTTTATTTTATTTTTATTTTTATATGTATTATATCATCAAAGAAGAATTAAGGGGGTGTTGCTTGTATACAATGCAAAAGAGCAAAAGCCAAAACACCTATACATCAATCTACTCAAAATGATTTACAAAATCCAAAATTTGGTTCAAGGATGGATCAGCACCACCCGAGAGCCAACTATAAAAAAATGGTCAAAATTCTACAAAACCAAACCAAACTAGGCCTTGTGTCCCAAACAAGTGGGGTCAAAATTCTACTCTTCAAAACAAAAGATAGGAGTGCTACTCCGTCAAAAGTTTCCTATTGCGCTGCCTCCAAATGCTCCATGTCAATGCCAAAGGGCCCAAACAACAAGCCCTCCTCCTTCTCCTGCCAACTCTAGGTACCCTCCAAGATAGCAATAATTCCAGAACACTTGAAGGAAAGACACATCATATCAAAGAAAAATCAATTGGGTGGTTAACCAGAGGACAAAGAAAAATCATACAATTTTTGCCTCTATTTCTTACCTTCCATACTTTCATCTATTTTTGCTGGGGCACTGACAACAGGGATGATCTTATGGGATTCATTGGGTGGTTGACCAACAGATGTTTTCACCTCTTTCATGTGGATGAGCTGGCTATCAAGTTGGATGTCAAATGGAAGATAATGTGTAAAACAACTCCATTATCAATCAAGACTTTCGGCAACTCAAAAAAGAGAGGGAAAAAAATGTTTGATGATGGTGTGGAAGGGAGAAACTACATGTGGTTTCCATCACTATTAACATGACCAATTCTTTCTGCTCTTGATTGGTTCAGTTTAGGGAAATGTTGTTGTCCAAGTGTCATAGGCATCTTGTAATCTTTTCCTTGGGTTGAATGAAATGTACAATTTTAGATTACATTACATACAACTCAACTAAAAAAGCCATTTATTCCAATTAGTTGGGGTCAGCTACATGGATATATTTCCTCGGGTTGATTCTATTCTATTCTAAGCCTTTATTCTACTTTGCCTAATAGGGTGTCACATCAAACATACTCTCAAAATATTTTTTTTTAAATATATATATATATATATAAAAGCAATTCATATAAGTTGCACCAAACAACCCACAATACTACCCATAATACTGGAAGTAAATCATTTAACCACTTCAAGAATACAAAGAGGACCTCAAGGTGGAACTTTAGGATCCAATTTCTTGACAAACTTAGACCAATTGCCTTTTGACCAAAAAAACATAGAAAGGCACAAGATCAAGCTTCAAGATAAAGGGTTTAATAAGCTGGCTATGATTAGGTTTGATCATATCATATCATATCATCAAAAAGGTTAACAACCATGACAAAAAGTGTCAGATCTGCAAGTCCTAACTGTAAATTTTAGAGAATATCAGATTAGGGAATGATTAGGATATCATTCCCTATTTATATTAATGAAGATAATAATTACAAGGAAACCCTAAGGCATAAAATAATTACAAACTAATAACCCAAATAATCATATATTATTCTAACACTCCCCCTCAAGCTGGTGCGAAGATATCTCTCACGCCCAGCTTGCCTAAGATGTCATGAAATGGCTTACTCCTAACTCCTTTGGTGAGAATGTCAGCAAGTTATTCACCAGACTACACAAAGGGAGTACATATTGTGCCACTAGTGAGTTTCTCCTTAATGAAGCGGCGATCAATCTCAACATGTTTTGTCCTGTTGTGTTGAACCAGATTGTGAGCAATGTTGACAGCGGCCTTCTTATCACAGTACAACCGCATGGAGTCCGTCTGATCAATACTTAGATCACTCAACAATAACCTGATCCATAAGAGCTCGCACACCCCTTGTGTCATAGCTCTAAACTCAGCTTCTGCACTCGACTTGGCAACCACATTCTGTTTCTTACTCCTCCAAGTAACTTAGTTGCCTCCAACAAATGTGCAATACCCTAAAGTCGATCTCCTATCAGTCACTGATCCAACCCAGTCAGCATCTGTATAGGCTTCTACACGAAGATAATCATATCTTGAAAAATAAAGACCCTTACCAGGAGCAGACTTCAAGTACCTCAAAATTCGCATGACAGCCTCAAAGTGAATCTGACGAGGAGCATGCATAAACTGGCTAACCACACTGACAACAACAGCAATATCAGGACGAGAGTGAGATAGGTAAATGAGTTTACCCACTAATCGCTGATAGCTCCCCCTGTCAACCGTTGCTCCTCTTTCATCATCCCCCAGTTTTTGATTGGGTTCTAGTGGAGTGTCATAGGCCTTGCAGCCAAGCATCCCAGTTTCCTTCAACAAATCAAGCACATACTTCCTCTGTGAGATAAATATCCCATCCTTGGAGCGAGCAACTTCAATCCTAGAAAATACTTCAAGTTCCCCAAGTCTTTGATCTCAAACTCATGGGCTAAATATTTCTTCAACGGAGGAATTTCCTTACTATCATCACCAGTAAGAACTATGTCATCTACATAAACAATGAGTGCTGTAGTCTTACAAAGTGAGAAATGTTTCACAAATAAGGTGTGATCTGCCTGACTCTGTTTGAAGCCATATTTAAGCATAGCCTGAGTGAATCTCTCAAACCAAGCTCTCAGAGACTGCTTGAGACTCCGAAGCCTACATACTTTGCCTTCTGTCTGATGATCCTCAAAACCAAGAGGAATGTCCATATATACCTCTTCTGCGAGGTCACCATGGAGAAAGGCATTCTTTACATCAAACTGATGAAGTGGCCAATCTAGATTAGCTGCTAAAGATAGAAGCACTCTGACTGAATTCATCTTGGCCATGGGTGCAAAGGTCTCCTGATAGTTAACGTCATATGTCTGAGTGAACCCTTTTGCCACAAGTCTAGGGAAATATTTGATACAAATGCTCTACATGAGGACGACAAATGAGAGTAGGACACAAAATTTGAGATAGGATGTTGAGTACAAGACCTCACACCCTTTCTCTTGGCAATAAGAACATCAAGGTCAATGGACTCAAGAGATTCAAAGTTACCTGGACTCTCATCAGAAACAGGAGATGGCAGTGAAGAAGTAGAAGTGGTCTCTTGTATCCAGTTAACTTGGTGTCTGTCTTTGTCCCTAACATAAACTTGTTCTTCCCTATCCTTGATTACATTGGGTTCTGCAGTCTCCGTAGAAGGTGGTGGTGCAAGAACAACTGGTTCCACCATAGGAATCACAAGAATCACTTCACACTAAGGCTCTCCCTGAAGGGAGGATTGTGACATCGGAGAGGACAAGAAATAGGACTGAGACTCAAAGAATGTGACATCTATGGACACAAACCACTTATAAGAAGAAGGGTGGTAACACTTATACCCTTTTTGAGTAGGAAAGTATCCAAGGAAAACACATTTCAGGGAGCAAGGGTCCAACTTACCATGAGTCGGAGAGTGATTATGGACAAAATAGACACAGCAAAATATTTTGGGAGGAATAGAAAACAAGGACTGGGAACCTAGGAGGACTTGAAGATGAGCTTAGTTTTGCAAGACCTGGGTAGGAAGATGATTAATAAGATGGGCAGCGGTAAGAACAACATCACCCCAGTAGGACCGAGGCATACTTATAGAAAAACACATGCACCGAGCTATGTCAAGAACATGGCGATTCTTGGGTTCCACCACCCCATTTTGTTGAGGGGTATTGGTGCAAGAGGTCTGATGGATAATGCCATGAATAGAAAAATAGTGCCCTAACCCAAAATCTATGTATTCATCCCCATTATCAAAATGAAATATTTTGACAGTGGCTCCAAACTGAGTACAAATCATCTTATGAAAATTGCAGAACACAGAGAAAATCTCACTCGTGTCTTTCATGAGATACACCCAAGTAATACGAGAAAAATCATCAATAAATGTGACAAACCAGCAATGACCTTTCATAGACACAACACGAGAAGGACCCCAGACATCAGAATGTATTAATGAGAAATGAACTAAACTTTTATTAAAATTGGGAGCAAAAGAAACTCTATGTTGTTTTCCAAGTTGACAAGACTCACAAAGAAATTCAGACACATTATTGTTTAAAAAAATAAATAGAAATAAATGCTTAAGTAAATAAAAAGAAAGATGCCCAAGACGCCGATGCCACAGCCACATATCATCGGAGGTAGTAGGATCCATGGTGGAAGAATGAGCAAGCTTATCCGGTTGATCCAGGAAGTAAAGATCATTTTTTGCACTACCATTGCCAATCGTTCTCCTCATGACAAGATCCTGAAAAAGACAATGATCAGGAAAAAATGTCATACTACAATTCAAATCCTTTATAATGCGACTCAAGGATAGTAGGTTAACAGAAAAATTGGGAACATGGAGAACAGAAGAGAGAGGTAAAGTAAGAGTGACATGGACTAAACCTTTTCCAGAAATAGAAGAGACAGTACCATCTGCAATCCTAACTTTGTCCTGACCTGAAGAGGGCTTATAGGCAGAGAAAGATCAGAGGAGCCAGACATATGATCTGAGGCACCGGAATCAATAATCCAAGGCAAAGTCTTTTGAGACAGGAAAACACAAGGAGAAGAGGCTAAGTTACCTGGGCGGGCAAATGACGAGGAAGATGTACTGAAAGCAGTAGAAGACCGGCGGTCCAGCAATTGACGCAGAACATCCTCAAGCTCATGAGTAGTCATGCCAGAGAGATCATCAGAAGCCTGGCTAACGGAAGCAGAATTAGAATCAAGTGTATCAACGGCACTCGACTGATGAGCCCGGGGATAGGAGCCACGTCCTTTAGACTGGCTTGACCGACCTTCTCTAGAACCAGACCGATCACCTCGACCCCCGGATGGAGTCCCATGAAGCTTTCAACAGGTCTCACGAGTATGCCGCGGCTTCTTACAGTAATCAAAGAATACAAGCTCCTTGGCGGCAGACGGAGGAATGGGAGTCAGGCTGAGGCCATCTCGAGAGGTAGACAGTAATGCTGAGCAGTCAGTAAAGACAGGGGATATCATAGTAGGCCGGCGACTCTCCTCATTCTGGACATAGACAAATGCCTCCTGAAGTGTAGGAAGAGTATCCATACTCAGAACCCGACTTCGAACCGGATCATACTCCACATTGAGACCGGCCAGAACCTTGAAGACCATTTCCTGTGCAATGAACTTCTTGTACCCGACAGAATCAGCAGTGCATACAGGCTTATAGTCCTGCAGGTGATCAAGGCGTTTCTAACTGTTGGTGAGGAAGATGAAGTACTGAAGAACTGTCTGCTCCCCTTGAATAGAGCTCTCAATAGAGCGGCGTAACTCAAATGCCTGGGAGAAATTCCCTTTACGGGAATAGGTGGTAGCCACAACATCCCAAACATCTTGGGCAGTCTCCATAGACAAGTAGCCCTCGCCAATGTCTAGTACCATCGAATGAATAAGCCAACCCATAATCAAAGAGTTGGTAATCTCCCATTGGTCATAACCCAGATCAGTTGTGTTGGATGCCTGTATCTTGCCATTCACATACCCCATCTTCCCTCTGCTCTTCAAAAACATAATCAAACTCTGCGACCACAAAAGATAATTCTGACCATTAAAGAGAGGTGGTGCTTTTAAGACTAGGGTTGGGGTTATCAGTCATAGTAGTGTGGTATAGGGAAACTCTCACTCCTAGGTGTCTGAGAAGTAGTGGACACATCGGTAGAATTTGCCATAGATACTGTACTATCGAACCAGCTACAAAACTAATGTCAATCACAAACCTGGAAGGTGGTGGTGGCGGAAGGAAAAACAAACAACCACTATGATAGTAAAGAATTAACAACTCATACTTTTTTTTTTAAAAACAAACAAACAACTCAAGGGTGAGAGACGGAAAAACGAGACAGACAAAAAGAGGAAGACGACAAGAGAAGTGAGCAGAGGGAGAGTCGAGCAGTCGAGAGAAGCGAGGTAGGATGCCGGAAGGGGCAAGGCAGTCAGCTGAGTCAATGATGGCTGAGGAGTCGTCGGCTGAGTCATCTAGTGGTCGACGAAGCTAGCACAGACGACGACGATAAGCCGAGGATGATTCAGTGGTCCACGTTCATCACACCAGGTGAGTTTCGAACCCTAGGGAGCCGAAACCCCTCAGGTGTGACACGAATGAAGCCAACGAAGCCAACAATGACGATGATCCGAATGTGATTCGGCTAGGTTGGCTCCGGCAGTGGGTTGGTGGCTCCGGTGGATACTGTATGCTTAGAGGAATTTAGGGTTTAGGATTAGCTTTGATACCATGTAAATTTTAGAGAATATCAGATTAGATTAGGGAATGATTAAGAAATCATTTCCTATTTATATTAATGAAGATGGTAATTACAAGGAGGTCCTAAGCCATAAAATAATTACAAACTAATAACGCAAATAATCATATATTATTCTAACACTAACCACCATTGTTACTGAATCAATCAATCAATCAAAAAAATTAACTAAATCAATCAATCAATTAACTAAATCAATCAAATGTAAAGCAGACGAAGATTTGGTTAAAAAACTCACTATTGAGTTCATCAAGCCAGCGGGCAATGCTGTCGAAGGTGGTGCGGCGGGTGATGTCATAGACGATTAGGGCACCGACGGCGCCGCGGTAGTAGGCGGAGGTGACGGCGCGGAAGCGCTCTTGGCCTGCGGTGTCCCAAATCTGGGCCTTGACTTGTTTGCCCTCGATTTCCAAGCCCTGAGTCTGGAATTCGACACCAATGGTGGCCTTGGAGTGGGAGTTGAACTCGTTGCGAGCATAGCGAGAGAGCAAATTCGATTTGCCCACCGCTGAGTCGCCAATTATCACCACCTTGAACAGGTACTCCTCTCCTCCTCCACCTTCGTCGTCCGAAGACATTTCTATACACTATTCTATATGTTGTGTTTATTATGTATGTATAATGTGTGCTTGTCTCTTTGTATACGTGTAGAGTAGTTGTAATGGAGAGAGAGAGAGCGAGATCTAGAACCAGAGTGAGGTGGAAGAAGAGGAGCTGGCACAGACAGTACTGCGCAATTAGTGGTTTTTTCGATTCGATGGACATAAATGTTAATCATTAGGTGTTTCTAGGACAATGCTCAACACACAATTCATTGGTTGACACATCTCAAAACACCCAAAATAAAATTGATGAATTTACCTAGTCAGATTACATTTATTTTTAAAACGTGGACCATAGTTATGATTTTAAGGATAAATTGATATTTATTTGTTTACAATAAATATGTTTCGGGTATATAATTACTCATATTTCATTATCTTGATTTTTTATATATGAATATGTTTTAAAAAGATTAGCCTTGTTACAATAAGAATTTGTAAATTTTTTTAGTCTTATAATTATCGGTGGTGTTATATGTACCAATTAGTATACATATTAGTATACTAATTAATATTATGATATTATTATTAATAATATTTATTATACCAGTTATAAATACTCAAAACTATACAAATGATGTTACATTATCTGTTAGTACACTAGTGTGTATATTAATTGATGCATATAGTATTATTCTATAATTATTTGTATAGATTAAAAAGTCTTAAAAATTGATAATTAATAACGTTTCTCTAAATTTGTTACTAAAAATAATAATCAATGATATTTTATGTATTGAATTTTTCAAACTATAGCTAAAAAATAGTAATCAGTGATACTTTCTATAAAAACGTTGCTATAAAATAAAAGTAGAATTTTGTGACAACAATTAAAAGTGAATATAATGTTTTAGTGTAGTAAAGGGTCGAGAGGGTTTATTATGCAACCATCTTTATAATAAGATTTTTCAGTCATTCCCCTTTGAATTGGCAAGATGGACCCAAAAACAAAGCCTGAGAAGCAAAATTTTTTTTTTTTTTCGTTTAAGGTTTTTTTTTTTGGTTTGTTTTTTTTTTTTTTTTTTTTTTTTTTTTTTGGCTATTTTAGCTACAAATAAGTAAAATAAATTAAAAAGTCAATAAAATAAAATGTCACACCTAAATCATAATCATTTCATTTTTTCTCTCACAAAAGTCAAAAAAACCTATCACAAACGAGAACTTTTAACCTCAAGCTAAAATAACTAAAAAGTTAAAAAACCAACCCACATCCCAAATGAAGGCTAAATGTTTAACATGATAGAATCCATTTTGTTTTCCAGAAATGCGCTGTAGCTAGAATTCTTGAGGCTCGAGTAGCCCGCAAAGTGAATTTTTTTCTCTATCCTCTCTATTTGTTTCCTCTCCTCTCCTCTCCTCTCTATCGCAATTCATCAAAACAAAAAAGCATTCAAACACTCTTATTCAATAGATTTGGGTTTTGATTTTGATTTTGATTTGTGGCTGTGAGTCACTGTTGGATTTATTTTTTTAGTGTGGCCCAATAGCCTACATATTTTCTACATGTTTTAATTTATTTGGACTCCACAAATAGATAAAGCCAATATTTTGAGATCAAGTTCAGTAAATAGAATTTTAATATAATCACTCTTCTAAGATAAGAAGGAAACCTTGATGGATTAGGAATTCTTCTGATAGAGTTTATCTGGCCCTCTTCTCTCCTCTATATAAGGATGGGTGACTCCCCTTTCATATCATGAGTATTTTTCCATCACTTTAAGTTTTATAGTCATCCTAATTAAGAGAGACAGAGAGAAGAAGGTGAGCCAAAATTAAAAAGGTTCAATTCTAAGGGGTATTTTCTCAACTTCTCTAATTCAATGGCTGACAAAGGTATGTTCGTTTTATTCTTGAGTTGTATTGAATTCAAGATCCTGTAAAGTTTAATTCCGCATTATTATTATGGTTACATGTATTAATAAATCTTACATATGGTATCAGAGCTTTAGTTTGTGAATTAATACACCTTGGAATAATAATATATTTATGAATATTGTTATTATAGTTATAATTATTCATAACAACATATTTTTTGTTCATAAGGTTTGAACTCTCGGCATGTGTTGGTTATCTTGAATATACGCTGTATGTTCAACCTTGTAAGCTGCATGCCATATTTATTAGGCAGTGTCTGAATGGTACATCGAATCTCTTTCATATTCATTATGCATCAAAGAAACTCTTTTTGTGTTGTTAAAAGTCAAAAGTTGTGTAAAAGAAGATTTCATTCCTAATTTCTAAATCGTAACTAAGTATACACATCATGGACTCCTATTGATGAAATTGTTTACCAAATCAATTGACAGAACCCAAGACATGAAAGAAAGCATAGCATACCCACA